CAAATTAAGATAAAATTCTCATAACATAAAATTCACCATTTTAAAGTGTAAAGTTCACTGATTTTTAGTATATTTACAATGTTGTGCAACTGTCACCACAATCTAATTCCAGAACATTTTCATCACTGCAAAAGGAACTCTGCATCCATTAGCAATCATACCACATTACCCTCTTCCTCTACTCCCTGGCAGCTGCTAGTCTGCTTTCTGTCTCCAGGGATTTGCCTGTTCTGGACATTTCTTATAAATGGGATCATGCAATATGTGACCTTTTATGTTTGGCGTCTTTTATTTAGCATGTTTTCAAGGTCTGTCCAGGCAGTAGCATGTATCAATACTTCATTCCTTCTTATATTCGAAATATTTCACATGGGCATATAATTTTGTTTATCTGTTCATCATTTGGTAGACATTTGGGTTGTTTTTGGCTATTATGAATAATGCTCTGGTATGGACATTATTCATGAACACTTTTTTAAAAAATAATTTTTCATTCTCTTGATTATATACCTAGTAGTGTAACTTCTGTAATACTTGGTATTGTCATTTTTCTCTTATTTTAGCTTTTATTGTTACCCTCAATTTTAGCTACTCTCATTCGTGTGAAGAACTCTTACACTGTCATGTAATTTGCAGTGCCCCCATGACTAACAAGGTGGTTCATATGGTATTCTGTGTTTAACATCTTGAAGAACTGTTTTCCAAAGCAGTGTACCAGTTTACATCCACAGCAGCAGTGTATAAAATGCCTGCTTCTCCACATCCTTGCCATCACTGTTATGGCCTTTTTGCTTATAGCCATCCTAGTGGTGTGAAATGGTATCTCATCATGGTTTTGATATTAATATTGTTGAGCATCTTTTCATATGCTTTTTGCCCATTAGTATATCTTATTTGGAGAAATTTCTAGATTCCTTTGTCCCCTTAACTCTTCACTTCCCTCTTCTGCCTCCCTTCCATTCACCAGGCCCTAACCCTGAATCTTTCATAGTTTCTGTTAAATCTTTGATTCCCTGCCTGGACCTATTAACTTGGCCTTCTAAAGATAAAAGTTTCTAGCTTGATCTGGGCTGAATATAGTACTCAGTAGTTCTGTTAGTTATTTGCTAATGGTCTAGTACATTTCCCACAACAGCTATCCGAAATATTTTCTACTTCCCTCAAGCTTTCAGTGTCATTCCAACCTCCTGTTCTTCATAGGTAACACCGCTAAACTGAGAAAAGTGAGGGCATCAGATGTAAGTTCGTACTTCTTCCTTCCTTTACACCTAACATTGCCCTTTTACTACTTTTCCTTTCTTCTGCTTTTAGAAAAATGTGATCCTACTTATTTTAGGGCTACTACCTTCTGCCTGCTCTCCTTTGAGGCCATTCCCTGACATTCTTCTGGACTGTTCCCTCCTTAGTTATCTGTTCTTCCCTTTTTCAGTACTTTCCTTCTCTTTGGCTCCTTTTCCTCCGTCTTAGATATGTTCATATCGCCTCAACTTTTTTAAAAAACTGCCACTTGATCCCTCTGTTCCCTCTAAGTACCTTTCTGTTTTTCTCACTCCCTTTTATAGCCACACATCTCTAATGAGACATTATCACTAATCTGTTTCCTTGTCTTCCAATTTTCTTACAGGCACTGTTGTTCTAACTTTTACTAATATATTCCAGAAGGTCTCTAATAGTCATTTGAATGTCCAGATTTGAAGGCTTTTCTCAGATCTCATTTTCTTCTATTTCAATTCCTTGTTTTAAAAAACTTCTCTATTCCTGCTAATGGTACCACAATCTTATTTTCTTCAAAAACTCAGTTGTAAACTCCTCTTTCTCAAGTGACAATATTTTTTTCTTTTTCATGTCTTACCTGTACTTCCTTTACAAAATCTGTCACTGTATTCCTGCTGCAACATTAAATGGAAAAATCCTTAAGTCCATATTTTCTTCCCATAATAACCTCTGAACTGATATTTTTCTGACTATGCAAAATAACCAGTGGTGTCCTGGTAAACTGGCTCACTGAGGGGGGGAAAAACTCTGATATATAGTATTTGCTGATGTCGTGGCTGATTTCAAGCTACCAATGATCTAATAACCAGGCCACAAAATTCCTGAATATTTAACAACCAACTCCAGCACACCATTGATAATAACTCTAAGACCAGACAGTAAAGCTGGTCTTTTATCTACATGTACTATTGTTACTAAGTATAATTTTTTCTGTGTGTTTCATATTTTTAAAATATTTTATGAATATAAAATATGTATATAAATGATTTTATTGAGATATAACTCAGATACCATTATAATTCATATATCCATTTAAAGTGACATTTGGACATTCAAATGACACATATCCATTTACAATTCAGTGGTTTTAGAATATTCACAGACTTGTGCAACCGTCATCATAACCCATTTTAGGACATTTTCACCGTCCCAAAGAGAAACCCTGTAGCCATTAGCAGTCACTCCCCATTTTTTCCCCAACCCTCCTAACCCAACATAACTACTAGTCTAGTTTCTGTCTATAAATTTTCCTATTCTGAACATTACATATAAATAGATCAGACAGTAAGTAGTCTTTTGAGATTAGCTTCTTTCACTTAGCATGTTTTCAGGGTTCATCCACATTGTAGTATGTGTGAGTACTTTATGGTCAAATGGCATTTGTTTCATGAGGTATAACTTACATACAGTAGAATGCAGAAGACTTAAGTATGCAGCTCAACACATGTTTGCATATGTATGCATCCATGTAATCACCAGTACTTGGAGAGGACTCCCTCATGCCCCTGCTGTCAGTGTCCTCTCTCTGCAGCTTTCCTCCTTGTCCTCTGGCTTCTATTCACTTCACCACAGATTGACTTTGCCTGTTTTTGACCTTCATGTAGATGGAATCATAAAAGATATATTATTTTGTGAATAACATGTACTTTTAAAAACACAAATTACCGATAAGCAACTCTTTGAGTACTAACTTCTAGAGGACAAGTTTTCTTTAATCTGTAGGGAAATGTCTAATAACTTCAGAAAATTGTATATTTGGGTCCTAGGTCTAGTCTTCTCTATAAAATAATGTTCTAAAAAAGGACAACACACACACACATCCTAAAAGTGAATATTTTTGCTTATCTATAGCTTTAGCATATCTTAAACTAAGCTTAACTTTATATAAGGTATTTTTTAAAAAGTAAGTGTTTTCATTTAAAAACCTAATGTTAAAAATCTACATTATCTGATTATAAAATAATGTCTTCCCAGTTTCTGGTCGCAGCCCAATCATGATGTGATCTGTTTAGAATGTAAAATTCTAAGTGAACATTACTACAGCCAAAATAAATTTAAAATATTTTAAGGGAACATTTTGAAAAACTTCACTCCAAACAATTTCCCAGAAAGAGACAAATTACTAAAACTAACCCAATATGAAATAGAAAATCCCAATAGACCTATCCCAAGTAAAAAAATTGAATTAGTTTTAAAAAATCTTCTGCAAAGACAAGTTCAGGCTCAGATGGCTTCATTGGTGAATTCTAGCAAATACTTTAAGGAAGAATTAATACCAATGCTATACAACATTTTAAGAAAATAGAGGAGAAGAAACACTTCCTAACCCATTTTATGAGGCTAGATATCAAAGCCAGGCGTAAACAGCACAAGAAAAGAAAACTATAGTTCAAAATCCCTCACAAACTTAAAAGCAAAAATCCTTGACAAATTCAATCCAGGAATGTATAAAATGATTTATACAACATGACCAAGAGGGATTTCCCTCAGGATGCAAGTTTGGTTTAATGTCCTAAAACCAATTAATCTAACACACCATAGTTAATAAAATAAAAGACAAAACCAAAATGTAATTGTTTTATAAATGCAGAAAAATCATGTGACAAAATCCAACACCCATTCATTATAAAAACTCAACAAACTACAAAAAGAAGGGAGAATATTCAGCCTGATAGAGGGCATCTATTAAAAACCTACAGCTAACATAATAGTTAATGGTAAAAGATTATATGCTTCCCCACTAAGATTGCGAACAAAGCAAGGACATTTGGCCTTGCCACTGCTATTCACCATTGTTCTAGAGCTTCCAGCTAGTGCAATAAGGGATAATGAAGTTAAAGACATCCAGATTGGAAAGGAGTAAACTGTCTTAATTCATAGACAACATGATCTCATATGTAGAAAAGGTTGAGGAATCTACCAGTCTATCAAACATTCTGGTAGAACTAATAATTGAATTTAGTAAAGTTAGAGGACATAAGATCAATGTATAAAATCAAACTGAAATTCCAGAAGTAGACATCTACGAATCAATTGCATTTCAATATACTGGCAAGGAATAATCCAAAATAAAATAAAGAAAACAGGTCCATTCACAATAGCAACAAATAGAATGAAACACTAAGGAATAAATTTAACAAAAACCATTAAGTAAGTATTTCACGGATAGAAGACGAGCACACATGCATTCTTATTTCAGTTTTGCTTCTGAGTAATTATAGACAATTCATATAACTTCTCTGAACCTCATTTTCCACTTCTTGCTTGATAGGGCTGTTATGAGCATTAGAACATATTTACAGTAAAAGCATTATACAGAGATAATCATACTTAATAAAGCACACATATGTTTGCCTCTCCAGCCTCCTAGTTGAAGTGGTATGAAAATCCACTTATGAATCTTGGCAATTTTGCCACATAAACAGGGTTAGCTGCTCTGCCATGGGACAGAGGAGCCATTATTCTGGACCCAGTTAGTTGGGATTCTGCTTAGATTCCCAGCCACCTTGTTCATGAAGTCACCAGCAATTTACCCATTTAGTAATAGGTTACAATTTCCACTTGTCATTTTTTAAATATTCTGTCCTTTTTATGTTATGAAATTTTAGGAGGAATTTTAGTCATGGCATATTGAATAACTGATAGTTCTTTAAAGCTGACATATTTTGAATATTTTAGTTTGCGCCATTGAAGTTACCTTTTTCCTTCACTTTCCTCTTGTTAAGGGCTTACAGCAGCCAGCTCCTTTTTCTGATGAAATTGAAGTGGACTTTAGTAAGCCCTATGTCAGGGTAACTATGGAAGAAGCCAGCAGAGGAACTCCTTGTAAGTAAATGCTCAATTATTTTGTTTTACTGTTGTTTTTAGCATTCAATTGTATTTATCAAATATACACCTACTCTCGCCATTCTTCCCTCAATTTACCTGTAAAGGCTAGTCAGGGAAAGGGCTCCTCCCATCTCCCTTGTTGTTCCATTTGGGAGGATAATTGACTCCACAAAATTTCCTAACTTATTATTTTCTTATTACTTCTTCTTGTTATACACTTGTTACCCAGGATGTTGTCATAGCTATGAGATATAGCAGAGCAGAGAGGATAAGATATTAGCCTGAGCTAGGTTATAATCTGTCTATTTTTATGAAGGTCCAAGTAAAATGTGTGGCTATCACATTTTTAATACCCTTCAGAATTGTCTCCCAAATCTTCCTTCCTGTCACTCAGTACTCTAGCTATGATGCTGATTGATGGAGGACAAAAATACCCTAAGTAGGAAGATACTCACCACTTACTGATATAATAATTTTCCAGGTTTTTAAAAAAAATTTGGCTTTACTATTTTCAAAGCCCATACTCTATTTGTATGCCCAGCTGATATTAGTAATTAGCAATTTTTGACCACATAATTGTCAATATGTATTCTAGATACTCTGGGTAATTGGGTTTAGGGATCATCATAAATAGAAACTTCCATGAGAGTTGTTATGAATACAAAGTCCTATAGGCGGTGCCCTTAGTACCTTGTAAACTCTCCAATTCTTTGTTTTACAATCCTTTTTAAGTTCTGTCAAATACTATGGTAAGTGTTCTTTCTAAATATAGGACTCAAATTCAGACAAATACTAGGGAACAAGAGGCAATTATAGCCACACATCTGTACATTACCAGTATATAGAAGATATTTGTGGTTACTTCTAAATTGTGTTAGTATGGTTGCTTTCTGTTGTAACTGAGGAGTAGCAAAATACAAATAGAAATGAATGCTGGCCAGTGTGAGGCTAGGGATCCCTATACCCCTCGGCTATATGGGGCATGGTTTGGGGTCCTCAAAACTCCAGAGAATGCTTTTCTTTTGCAAAAGGGCTTAGATATAGCTAATGTTGATCATAGCCCCTCTCACTCATGCTGTGACTTACCTGGGTTTGGCTCCCTTTTACTTGAGGAGGTGAGGCAAGGTAAAATGACAAGGGGAAACAGGCAATATGTAATAGGTGTACTGGTGGTAGGTCAGACTTCAAGGTGCCACCTTACAGATCAAGGGTCATATTCAGATGTAGAGGCTGTTGAGGGCAAGAACTTTTCACGTACTCTAATGGCACACACTCAGATCTGATCACGCGGCTTATATTACCCAGCTTGTTGCTAACCTATCCACATACCATCTGTGGTACATAAAATGTATGTATGTATGTATGTATAAGCGTATTATTCCTCAGTGTTGAAGTTTATAACTATTAAACACTAATCTAATTTTTAAAAATTTGGGGGTAATAGAATTTTACAAGTCATTTTTGATACTACCTAGTTTACAGTCTCTTGATTATATACACAAAGAAGTCAAGGTTCCTAGAAATGAAGAAGTGAAAGCACCCCTACAGTAAAACAAATAGTTTATGATAGAATTGAAGCTCAAATCTAGATTTTCTGTCTTTATGTTCTTTTCACCCCTGAGTAGTGCTGCTCTTTGTAGACACTAGTTATAAACAATAAAATCCTTTGGCAAACTGATTGCATTTTAGGTGGAACAAATAGTCACAAGTTAACAAAGTTTGCCAGTCTAATTTGACTTCTGGTTTTTCTCCTATATTTAATTAACTCTGTTCAATTTTATGTTAAATAACCAAGTAACTGACTATATTCATGCCAGTGCCCAACATGGAATAAATCAATAAAGAATCTACACATGCCATAGTGAATTTTAAACCAATAACTGTTACAAGGTCCCATCCCTCCCACTGCCCCCAGGTTTTCACTAAGGAGGTTAAGGTGTAAAAGAGGGAAAAGTTTCATGATCTAAGAGAAACTTGCTATCCAAAGAAAAAAACAAATATGACTTGAGAGAGATCATCTGTTTTGGAAGATGAAAAAAAATCACCAATATGCTCTCCTGGAGAAAGGAAGAAAAAGGCAGAGTGTGAAGGGCAGTGGAAATGTGTTAGGGACAAAATGTTCCAGTGATATGTATTTGAGAGAACATATCAAAAGACAATAAACTGAAGCCCAGTTCTGTTCTACCTCAAGGAGAACACCTAGTTACTTAGCCAGCAATAGTGCAAGAGCTGTAATTTATAATCCAAATCAGGACCATTTTGAAAATGAAGGAGCAGGTGCTCTTAATCATACGTTGAGACAACAGATGTCAATCAGAGGGAATGGGTATCCTAGCCAATAACCACTTAGTAAAAGAATCAATGACTTGTGCTTTCTCCCCAGATTTTCTAGTTCAACAGTGGTCCCCTCTGGCCATTTGGTTACATAGCAGCCTGAGTATATAACCAAAGACTTGGGGTTAAGTCAGGGAGCTGAAAGGTTGGGAGGCTGAGGAAACACTGAAGAGGGCGGGAGGCACATCTGGGGTTGGCTGGAGAAAGGGTTCAGTGGTGACTTGGCCTAATAGGGGAGGATTAATTCTGGCAAACTCAATCAACAGCATTCTATGCTCTTGCTACCATACAGGAAATATGTTTGCTGAGCTAAATTTCCCCATCTCACTTTGCCCTTGCTGTACACTAATGGCAAAGAAACAATGACAAAATATTCTTAATTTTTGTATTCTATCTGTTGTCTTTTAGGATCAAATAAGGTGGAATCATAGCCACTCTGGACTTTTTTAGGAAAGATGGAAGTATGCTAGTTACTTCATGGTCACAATGTCAAGGCTGTGGAAGAGAGATTATACTCCTCAGACTTTGTTTTGGTTGACTTGGTTTTAAAGATGAGGAAACTGAGGCTAAAGAGGTTAAGATTACAAAGAAAGGAGGCTGGTTGGCAAGCCTGAGCTATAACCTTTCTGACTCTTAAACCCTTCATATTTTTTTCATTGTATTGGTGTATTTATTTTATTTAAAATTTTGATTTCTTGTATTATAAAATTAACACATTCCCATGTGTTGTACATAAATGCAAAAAGGTATAGAGTGGAATGTCTTCCTCTCACCACTGTCTCACACCATCCAGTATCCCTCTTACAGGCAACCAGTATCACCAATTTCTTGGGGCTCTCTAAGCAAATAATGTACATATCCTCCCACCCTTTTAGTGGGTGTATCATGCTATATTCAGTCTTCCATTGAAATTTAGATCGTTTCTAAACTTTCACTATTATAAACAGTGCTGTAATGTGTAACATATATATTTACAAATATATCTGTGAGGTAATTTCCTAGACCTGGAACAGCTGGGCCAAAGGGTATAAAGCATTTGTCGTGAGTCCTTTGATAGATACTGCCTAATTACCCTTCTTGCAAGTTGTGCCAGTTTAGATTTCTATCAGCAATGTTATGACTGCTCAGTTTAAAAGCTACTTTTTGTGGATAAAGCTATCTGGAAAGAAAAGTCCATAAACCTCCTGAAAACTAGCTGCTTCTGCCTTGATTCCTGTCTTCAAGAGAGAGATGTATGTTACCCGCTCCCCCCACCTTTAGTATGGTGTATCTGATGAGGATCTGACCCTTCTTTTCCAGAATAATGTAGCTGTCCTGCTGTTATTTTCTGCTGGTCATATAGTAAAATAGCTCTTCCTATATTCACATAATGGGAATATGTTACTAGAACTCATTAGATTTATCATCTGAAGCACGATGAACCATTATATCGATTTCATTCTCAGTATGTTTATTTGGCTTTGGAATTAGACCTGTTCCCCAAAAGATCATTTCTTTCATAGGATCCACTGCCACTAAAAACAAATGAACAACAATTCTCTATCATTCTCATGAGTGGAGAGGAGAAGAGAAAAAGCTCTAAAAAAAGTCCTAAAATACTTATATTTGATTTTTCAAACACTTAGTGTACCACCCTCTACTGAGAAAGTGCAGCATTGTGCTCACTAGCAGGAGAAATGCTTGAAGGAAATCCTGCTGTTATCACAGTGCGGGTAGTGAGGGTGAATGTGGAACTGAGCAGCCATGAACTGATGACTGGCACTTACCTTCCCTCTTTCTAAATGTCACCCCTATGGATTACTCCTTACTTTCTGAGCAACAGTAGGGAGGTTTATTTTTGAAGGAAAGCTTTAGTCGTTACCAGCTTGAAAACAAGAGAGCAAGCAGTCACAGTAGGGCTGAACTTATACTATTTAAACATAACTAACGTTTAAACATTGGCTGACAGTGAGGATTTTTTTAAGTTAAAGAGATATAGCTCTTCCTTTCCACTTCTACAGTAACTTTAAGAAAAAAGCAATCATAAAATCCAATTTCCTGAGCAGTTTGTTATAATGAGGCTAGCAAAAAAACTTAGTGTATCTGATGTCAAGAGGGTCTCTGTAGCCCAGGAAGTCAATGATGTTACTCCTCACAACCCCTACTCACACCCAAACTAGGGTGGATATCCAGAGAACACCTTAAGAGGCATATGCAGTGATGGAATAGTTACACAGTGCCACTTCCACTTGTCAAATATGTGGTACTGAATCAATTAAATCAATATTTTTCTGTGATAAATTCTTTCCTTTGGATTTAGACGAACGGCCTGTGAGAGTTTATGCAGATGGCATATTTGACTTATTTCACTGTGGACATGCCCGGGCTCTGATGCAAGCAAAGAACCTTTTCCCTAATACATACCTCATTGTGGGAGGTAAGAAAACATCTGATAACTTTAGGTACTGTCCAGGAAAAAATACAACGTTTTCTTCTGTCTTTATAATCTGAGTATATTGGCTCTTTTTTTTTTTTTTTTAGTTTTGGTTGACTTGGTTTTAAAGATGAGGAAACTGAGGCTAAAGAGGTTAAGATTACAAAGAAAGGAGGCTGGTTGGCAAGCCTGAGCTATAACCTTTCTGACTCTTAAACCCTTCATATTTTTTTCATTGTATTGGTGTATTTATTTTATTTAAAATTTTGATTTCTTGTATTATAAAATTAACACATTCCCATGTGTTGTACATAAATGCAAAAAGGTATAGAGTGGAATGTCTTCCTCTCACCACTGTCTCACACCATCCAGTATCCCTCTTACAGGCAACCAGTATCACCAATTTCTTGGGGCTCTCTAAGCAAATAATGTACATATCCTCCCACCCTTTTAGTGGGTGTATCATGCTATATTCAGTCTTCCATTGAAATTTAGATCGTTTCTAAACTTTCACTATTATAAACAGTGCTGTAATGTGTAACATATATATTTACAAATATATCTGTGAGGTAATTTCCTAGACCTGGAACAGCTGGGCCAAAGGGTATAAAGCATTTGTCGTGAGTCCTTTGATAGATACTGCCTAATTACCCTTCTTGCAAGTTGTGCCAGTTTAGATTTCTATCAGCAATGTTATGACTGCTCAGTTTAAAAGCTACTTTTTGTGGATAAAGCTATCTGGAAAGAAAAGTCCATAAACCTCCTGAAAACTAGCTGCTTCTGCCTTGATTCCTGTCTTCAAGAGAGAGATGTATGTTACCCGCTCCCCCCACCTTTAGTATGGTGTATCTGATGAGGATCTGACCCTTCTTTTCCAGAATAATGTAGCTGTCCTGCTGTTATTTTCTGCTGGTCATATAGTAAAATAGCTCTTCCTATATTCACATAATGGGAATATGTTACTAGAACTCATTAGATTTATCATCTGAAGCACGATGAACCATTATATCGATTTCATTCTCAGTATGTTTATTTGGCTTTGGAATTAGACCTGTTCCCCAAAAGATCATTTCTTTCATAGGATCCACTGCCACTAAAAACAAATGAACAACAATTCTCTATCATTCTCATGAGTGGAGAGGAGAAGAGAAAAAGCTCTAAAAAAAGTCCTAAAATACTTATATTTGATTTTTCAAACACTTAGTGTACCACCCTCTACTGAGAAAGTGCAGCATTGTGCTCACTAGCAGGAGAAATGCTTGAAGGAAATCCTGCTGTTATCACAGTGCGGGTAGTGAGGGTGAATGTGGAACTGAGCAGCCATGAACTGATGACTGGCACTTACCTTCCCTCTTTCTAAATGTCACCCCTATGGATTACTCCTTACTTTCTGAGCAACAGTAGGGAGGTTTATTTTTGAAGGAAAGCTTTAGTCGTTACCAGCTTGAAAACAAGAGAGCAAGCAGTCACAGTAGGGCTGAACTTATACTATTTAAACATAACTAACGTTTAAACATTGGCTGACAGTGAGGATTTTTTTAAGTTAAAGAGATATAGCTCTTCCTTTCCACTTCTACAGTAACTTTAAGAAAAAAGCAATCATAAAATCCAATTTCCTGAGCAGTTTGTTATAATGAGGCTAGCAAAAAAACTTAGTGTATCTGATGTCAAGAGGGTCTCTGTAGCCCAGGAAGTCAATGATGTTACTCCTCACAACCCCTACTCACACCCAAACTAGGGTGGATATCCAGAGAACACCTTAAGAGGCATATGCAGTGATGGAATAGTTACACAGTGCCACTTCCACTTGTCAAATATGTGGTACTGAATCAATTAAATCAATATTTTTCTGTGATAAATTCTTTCCTTTGGATTTAGACGAACGGCCTGTGAGAGTTTATGCAGATGGCATATTTGACTTATTTCACTGTGGACATGCCCGGGCTCTGATGCAAGCAAAGAACCTTTTCCCTAATACATACCTCATTGTGGGAGGTAAGAAAACATCTGATAACTTTAGGTACTGTCCAGGAAAAAATACAACGTTTTCTTCTGTCTTTATAATCTGAGTATATTGGCTCTTTTTTTTTTTTTTTTTTTTAAGTATCATTGATAACAGTCTTATCAATGCTCACCCCCTCTAGTGTGGTCACTCTCTGTCAATGTAGTAAGATGTTACAGAACGATTGGTTATATTCTCCATGCTGTACTACCGTCCTTATGACCAATTTATGTTATATTGTGATAGCGAATTAATTGTGCCCCTTTGTCCCCTTCCCCCTTGGTAACCACTAGACCTTTCTCATTGTCTATGAGTCCACTGCCATTTTGTTCCTTCTGTTTTGCTTTGTTTTGGTTTTTAAGTGAGAAATATAGTACAGTGCTCTAACACATGACATATATGAAGTACATGAAACGTATAACACATGAAGTATATAAACCTGGAGAGAGAAGCTCCAAGCTCATTGACCTGAGATGTCCATTGTTTATGTTACTGTTTTAGCTGAGTTTCTGTCATCTTGGGAACAACAATGACCCCTACTGCCTAATTAAGAATAGCATTTACTCTAGATTTCAGTTTATCATTTGAATCAACTGAAATGCAAAGGTCCGGTAAGCAAATGTTATGTGGTCCTGTCAAGTGTTTTAAAAATATAATAGAAAAACATTTTTAAAAACCTTAATTGATACAGAAATGCACAGCAGCTTTAGTTCAGAGACAAAGATCTTAGTTCCCTGTTGTATCCCCTCTGCTCCAAAGTGTGAATATATTTAGTGAGTGTTGCTCCTGAAGGTGTACTGGAATTGGGATTAGGAAACCCAGACTAAGCTGCAACCAGAAGCTTCTGCAGGTGGGGAGTTTGGTTACAGTAGTAGGAAATGGGAGAGGTTGGTGACTGACGAGTGGTTAAGCCAAGGGGCGTCTGCCTCACACCTGTACGATGTGGTGAACTCAGTTTGCAGTGATGAGCTGACGCACAACTTCAAAGGCTTCACGGTGATGAATGAAAACGAGCGCTATGATGCAGTACAGCACTGCCGCTATGTGGACGAAGTGGTGAGGAACGCCCCCTGGACCCTGACACCGGAGTTTCTGGCTGAGCACCGGGTAGGAGTCTGTCCCCATTCCCCGCTTGGAGTTCCCTCAACTCTCAAGGCTTCTGGTACTGGACTTGTTCTCCACTAGCATTACTTCACTTCTGCCTTCATGTAGATATCACACAGCAGTGATGATAGTGATATTCCTAACAAACAGCAGTCATCCCTGACACCTGGGGGGCTTTGATGGTTTACAAACACTTTTACACCCATTGCATTTCATTTGCTTCCCTAGCAATGCCACTGGGGGGTTATTACTTCTACTTTACATATGAGAAGAGGGCCAGAGATATCAAACAACCCAGTCCTCAGCATGCTGTGGCAGGAAGAAATGGAACTCTTCAGTTATGTGATTTTCCTCCTGCACTGTGATGTGTCCATCCTTATAGCATACCAGTTGCTTTAGAAATACACAGCCCCAGCCATGCTCTCAAGGAGCTCACATTCCAGAAATAAGACCAGTAAACATAGATTTCTCTTGTGTTGACTTAGATTTCATTTTAGGGCTTTGATTTTAGCCAGAAGTTGTGTGGGATCAGAAACCAGGGAGGTTTCTCACTTTTATCAGTGAGTGAGTCTTATAAAACCCTACTTCCTTTTTTTTTTTTTGAAGTTTTAAAGTAAGTTGTTGAGTTTTTGTTTTATTAAGGTATTATTGATATACACCTTCTTTTATGAAGGTTTCACATGAAAAACAATGTGGTTACTACATTCACCCATATTTTTGAGTCCTGCTCCATACCCCACTGCAGTCACTGTCCATCAGTCCTACTTCCTTTTAATTCTCCAATGTTAAAGCAACAAGTTCCCTACAAAAAATGTGTAAGAGAAGCATTTATTAGGTCAGGTTGGAGGTCTTTAAGCTTTAGGAACCAGAAAGTATATTGTATTTCTGTACAGGGGTGTGTGGAGTGTTGAAGGTGAATAGTTCAATGAGGTAGGAAAGAACAAAGGTAGCCAAAGAGCTTCAAAAGCAATGCTTAGGAAGGCCTGAAGCTAAGGGGTATTTGTTATAACTATTTAGGATGAGGACAGACCATTTACGGTTCTCTAGCTCTTCTGCATCAACACTTAGCAGCCAGTAGTACCAAAGGTGATAAGATTATTCTCAGCAACCCAGCCAGGCAGGCCCAGGCAGAAGAGGTCAGAGGAACTTGTAACTTCTCTTTTATCCTTGTTAGGAGTATATCCTCAATTGCAAGTTTGGCTTGCCCAGGGTTCCTATTCTCAGTTTGCTGCCTATGAGTCTCAGACACAGTTCTGATCATGCTTCACACTACAGTGACTTCTGGGAGTTTGGTATGGTGGTGTTAGCGGTTACATTAGCAAAGGGCATATGGCCTATTCACAAAGGAGTAAATAAGTGAGGGTTAGCATGTCTCAGAAAGATTATTGATCCCAGGACCATTGCTTTCTTCCTATTGCTGCAAGAGGTATTGATAGTAGTAAAATAGTACCTAAGACCTAAAGGTCTTTTTTGGCTTCAGGTTCTACATTTCTTAGGAGTACAGATGTACTAGTATCTACTCTAGTGAAAGGGCTCTTGGGTGCTAATTTTGTATTCCCACTCATCTTATGGAATGAGAGAGAACCCAGTTAACAAAGAAGTGACCTCTTTCTCATACTTCTGGGAACTTTTATTGAACCAGTCTCGATAGACCCAGGAGGAAGGTGAAATTTCCTTTCCTCTTCCCTTGTTAGCTGCACTCACTAACTAGCACACCAGCAAATCCTCCAGCCCTGTTTTCCACAGCATGGTGACTGGTATACAGGGTGAGGGTAGCACTCCCATTAGACCAGGAGAAATAGCTACAAAAAGAAACTGGCTGACTTCACATTTATGACCCATGACTAATTAGACTGGGGGACTTGTGAATGACTTGTGGAATTTATGAGCAAACCAAAGAGAGATAAAAAGAAAAAGTCATTGGTCGTCTGACCTTTCCTTGTTGTCCTTTTTCTGGGCCTGAGAGTTATTTACTGGTTCCTTCTGAATGGCGACTATCCTGGGTTTTAAATGATGTGCCCTTTTTTTCAGATTGATTTTGTAGCCCATGATGACATCCCTTATTCATCTGCCGGGAGTGATGATGTTTATAAGCACATCAAGGAAGCAGGTGAGTAAGTTGATGTGCATTCTCACTTTATGGAATCTCAGAAGCAGTGATGGAGATCCCACCACATCACTGCTTTACACAGAAGAACTGATACATAAGAAATTCGTCCACTTTCAGGTCACACGGTGGATAACAGGGTAAGGTGAGGATAGTACTGACATCCATCAAATCTCAGTCTAAACACCTGCTTTTGATATCTCTTTTAATTTCAGAAACCCCTTCCTCAGCCTCATATTTCTCTTAATTTCTTAGGCTCTAGCCTTTGGTTCAGTCCTTCTTTTATACATTAGTGTCTCTAGACTTCACTTAGTAATAGAGATTTTGCTTTTTGAGGAAAGGAAAGAAGTGCTGCTCCCAGGTCCCATGTAGTCCTCCTGCCTGAGCTAACCAGAATGTCACAGTGTTCGTATGTGCTCTTGGGTTAGGCATGTTTGCTCCGACACAGAGGACGGAAGGTATCTCCACATCAGACATCATCACCCGAATTGTCCGGGACTATGATGTGTATGCCAGACGGAACCTACAGAGGGGCTACACAGCAAAGGAGCTTAATGTCAGCTTTATCAACGTGAGTTCCAACCCCATCCCAGTTTCCTGGCCTGTTAAGACACATGTGCCTCCCACTTCATCTGAGTTGAACTTGCTTTTCAGTCTGCTGTAATGATCCCCCCCAAAAGCTCAATGAATGCCTCTTTGCAAATAACACCAGGCCAAGCTCTTTACAAAGAGAATAAAACAGAGGCATTTTATGTCTTTATGGTCTAATAGCAATGTAATGATGTAAGGACACACCACCATCAAATAAGAATGTGTAACTTACATAGTATAGTATTTATATCAAGCACATTTAAAGCAGTGGTTCTTAATCTTTTTTTTTTTTATTGTATTGTCTTTTGTAAAATCTGGTGAAAGCTGTGTGGAATAGTGCCACACAATTTGCATGCAGTTTCTCAGGGCACATGGACCTGCATTTTAAAATTTGGTTTATGAAAGCAACATTTATTGCCTTTTAGAAACAAACTGCTACATATTTTGTATATAAATGATACCTCAATAAAGTTGTTTTAAAAAGAAGGAGAAAGAAAAATAAAGAAAGCTGCTAACTATATCTTCTACACAAGTAGTTAACCAGACTCCCTTACCTGTTCACCTAGCTCTGTAAATTATGAATAGGTGCGGTGGTTTCATCTAAACATGATGTATCTATGCAGATAAACCCTAGCTGTTATTAGCCACCAAATACAGAATCTTTATTTTCAGGTGTTTTTTTTCCCTAAGTGTTTTTAAAATGCTAAACATATTCCCTTTTCCCTTTATGATCTGGAAATTATGGGAATACTTTTCATTGGGCCGAAGACTCCCCTAACCCAGAGGGTTCATACTATTTTCCCTTACCTTTAGGAAAGCTTGCAGGATCAAAGAGTATCGTCTTAATTTTGTGAATGAGCAGACCTGCAAATACTAAAAAATAACACAACTATTCTAAAATCATAAAATAAACCAGTGATGGAGAGAAAAAAATGCAGTACAATAAATTAAGTAAATGTTCCGCTAATTCCAATTTCACCCTATTATAGTAGGCTTATTCTTGGCTGTTTATGTTTGTGTTCCAAGTTTATGTTTTGTCTTAAAAAATTTGACTTTACTTAACTCCATGCCAGTCTGTTACTAGGCTTACTCTATATATTCAATTTAGTCCCAGGCTTCCACAGTGTTAGAATTTATCATACTTTTGTATAAGACAACCATCCAGAGCTTAGCTTATCTAATATTATATTAGAAATGTGGGATAGTTTAAAGCAAAGTGAAATTCTAAAGACTGAAAAGTGTCAATAGAGTGCCACACCATGTTTTTTCCTTCCCTTTTGGTTTGGAAGTTCAGAGTGAGTATTATTTCTGAAAACAGTTATTTCTTTACCTAGGAGAAGAAATACCACTTGCAGGAGCGGGTTGACAAAGTAAAGAAGAAAGTGAAAGATGTGGAGGAAAAGTCAAAGGAATTCGTGCAGAAGGTAGAGGAAAAAAGCATTGACCTCATCCAGAAATGGGAAGAGAAATCCCGAGAATTCATTGGAAGTTTCCTGGAGATGTTTGGTCCAGAAGGAGCACTGGTATGTTCTTTCCTGCTGGACAATTTAGGGAATTTCAGGAAAATTTAGGCGATTCTCATGCTGTGGAAAGAATTATAGAATGCTTGAGCAGAAAGGGGCATTGATGTAAAGAAGTTATCAAATCTCTTCCTCTTATTGGGCAGAACTCTATTTCAACTGTCCCCCAAAAGTTCTTTGAAGTCTACAGAAAGAGATTACACATTCTGCTAAATTTGCCAGGTCTCCATCAAACCTCCAAATCTGGTGACAAGATAAGCAAGCAGCCTTGCCCAGTTTGCAGTTTTAGATAGAAGGAAAGGAAAGAACAAGGAACAGTGAAAAGAAAGCTGCCTCCACTACTGACAGCTGCTGCAGGATCGCTGGATTAGTTGGGGATTCTGTCTTTGAGGAATAGCAAGGCCTTTCCCAGCCAAATAAAAGGTGTATGCATAGCTGTTCAGTAAATGAGCCCTAGGATATCAGGGAGAATCTGGCTGTGAGGTGTTTGGGTACCATAATAGATTATTCAGAGAGAACCTGGGATTTCATTTTTAGAGAACTCTAAACTAGGATAAGGGACCCTTTTGTCAGAGTCAGTTCCTCTGTTTCTGCCTCAAGTTTTGACTATAGACCAAGTAGCCTTTTTAGGAAACCGTTGACATAGAAGTCAAGGATTGGGTGACTGTGGGTAGCAGATGGGAGCCCTTAAATAAATAGTGGAGCAAAGACCACTTTAGGGAGAAAATTGCTTAGAATTAAAGTTATGTCTCTCCTCTGACTTACTTGATCACTTTGACATTACAAAGTGCATTCATTGCAATTTGAAGTCTCAGTTCCTCTAGTGGTGATTTAGTAGGATCCATAGGTTTCTTCTAACTCTTCCTTTCGGTCTCTCCAGAAACATATGCTGAAAGAGGGGAAAGGCCGGATGCTGCAGGCCATCAGTCCAAAGCAGAGTCCCAGCAGCAGCCCCACTCGGGAACGCTCCCCATCCCCATCTTTCCGATGGCCTTTCTCTGGCAAGACATCCCCGCCTTCCTCCCCAGCAAACCTCAATAGGCGCAAGGCTGCAGCCTATGACATCAGTGAGGATGAAGACGACTAATTTTTCATCCCTCTTTTCCTCTCCCCGCTCTCTGTCCTGTTACCTTCAAGAAGCTGTCTGTTGAATTCTAAATTGTGATGCCAACACTAAGCCTAAGGACAGCTACCAAGGAAAGACAGTTGGGGGCAAGAGGACCTAGGATGGGACCAGACAGCCCGTCCTCCAGGAGGCATCACCCAGCCCCTCCTAGGAGGACGCTGACTACACCTTAGAGGCCTGTTCTGCATCCATTTACCCTCCCCACAGACTTTGCTTTACTGTTTATGTTCATGTGCTCTTTACATGGAAATTGTCATTTTTATTAATTTTCTAAAAGTTAGTCTTTCAATTGTAATAAGTAGAACTAATTTTTTTGCCCCTGAGGAGTGGGCAGAAGGAAATATATAATACCCAGAGAACTTTTCTTCCTGATACACTATGATGTTTGCCCTCTGTCCTGAGGCAAACTAGCTTGCCAAGTCCTTCAAGCAGTGACCCATGCTGATGGGTGATTTGGGGGGAAATGTCATAATTTTGGCTTCCTTAAAAAATGCTAAAAGCTGGGTAACAGTTGCAAATATCTAAATGTACTGCTGGCACATGTGTCCATGTGAGAAGAAGGAGATCTGAGCCTAACTCTTCTTACTCCCTGAGGAGCTTCTTGTTGGACCCAGTGGGGCCCATGAAGACACTGATGGGGATGGAAGCAGACCACATGGCATTAGCTGCGGTTTTGCTGCTGTGTTCATCTCAGAAAACTCTGTTGCCCAGTTATTTGGGAGCTCTTGTTGGTCTCTTTCCTGTAATCTACCCTAAAAAGAAGGATCATTTTCAGGTTTACTGTGATTAAGGAGGGGAGCGGGACAATGTTCAATCCTATACATAGTCAATTTAGGTGTATTTTCCCTCTGAGAATAAGTCCCTGGCCTGCTACTCCTATTTCAGTGCTTATTGCGTAGCTTTTTACACAGGATATTTTGTAAACATCTACAGTTTGACCATGATATTAATCCATGTTGCTCATAGCTATACTGAATATTTAGAGAGAATTGCATAGAACCTAGGTGCAAAAGCATAAGGAAACACCCCCCCTTTCTAAGCCTTATCTTGACCTCTGCCCTTTTTAAGAATGTTCTTAACTAGAACCACTGCTCCACATAGCGTTTCTTTTCCTCTGAGAGTTGCAGGGACTTCCCTCCCCCAGGCCAGAGCACAGGCTCATGGAGCCCGAGTGGGGCAGGTTTTCTTCCTCCCCAGTGTGCCTGGTAGCTGTGGTCCCACCTCCCCAGTTAGGTTGCTGGGGGTGGCGGGGGAGATTCACCACTTCTTTCACATCAGAGATGCTGAACCTTAGCACTTGCTGTTGAACTGAGCTCATTGACACCTCCAGCTCCAACAGCTCCATGATCCAGCAGATCAGCCCTCAGCAGTAATCCTGTAGTTGGGTTCAGGGGAAATTGCTTATATGCAGGCCCCTTGCAGCCCCCCTGTCACTCATAAATACCCCTTGTGGGGGTGGACTTTTAGTGTTTTCAGCTAAGAAAACCATATTTTTATCTTTTCTTGCCCCTCTGCTAGGGCTGTGAGTATCTCATAGTCCCCACCTGAAACACTGTCTGTAAAACCTGCTCTCCTGCCTGAGGGGCAGAGGCTGGAATCACTGCCTGCCTGCACACAGGATTGCCTAGGTTCTTAAAACTCACATCACCCAGAGAGGCAGAGCATGGCAGAGTAGGGACACAAAGAGGGCAAAACCTCTTTTTGTCCTGATGTCCTTTGAAAACTACATTCTTCTCATGAAGTGCTATTTTTACTGTCAAATCTGGTTTACAAAAGCTTTGGCTTGGAATCCTTTTTTGAAACAGTTAATGTTTTCCTACATTACTGAGCTTCCTGTGATCATATACGTCAACTTTTCTGCTTTGTCTTCCCTCTTGGGGAATTCTGCCTAGTTCTTTCATTCTCCCTGGTACAGAAAGACAATGAAGTCACCACTGAAGCCCACCTACTTGTTCCCACATGTTACCGAAGTGCATTTGGAAAAGGAGAAGCCCAGAATGTGGTCTGCCTCCTTGCAGTCACGCCTCTCAAGTATGTTGTCTGGGTCCCAAACACTTGGGCGCTCCTCGGCTCTGTCCATGCCCTTGGCATGTGACCTCCAGGCTGACGAGCTCTGTGAGGCTGCTCGGGCCAGTGTGCACACGTGTTCTTGATAAGCTCTCGCCCCTTTTGGCCTGTCTCCTAACACTGGTGTATCTTCAGAGAATTGAGTGAAATCACAAACTCCATGGTGTGGTGTATTAGGTACTTTGGAATACTTTGATACTTCAGTTAGATACTAAATGATGTCAGATACTTTGGGATAAATATGATCCTAGATGCTGAAAAAGGATGGGTGGATGGAGGGAGCTATTGGGGTGACTCAGTTTGGTCATTTGTGCTCCTTAAATGAGGCTAAAGGTTTGCATACCACAACCAAGCTTTGCTCTGTAAATCTAATATTAATGTTAATGTTCCTTAGGTGTTTCCCTCAACCCCATACACGAAGCAGTCAGCCTTAATAGGCCAAATGTGCAGAGATGAGAGGAGAGCCTTAAGAGCTGATTGGCCTCAGGGCCTCGGATAATGGAGACAGATGCCCCGTGGCTGGCGCTGAGGGGGTGCTGACCCAGCAGGTGCCCTGCTGCGGGCTGGGCAGGTTTGCTCTTTTTTTACATTACATTCAGCAGCGTAATAGTGATGAATAAAGGTCAGAACTTCAGAGGAATAGAAATGGAGTATTTGCCCTGCTGCAGCTACTTCCGATCAGCAGAGACCATTATTTTGCTGAGGTTTGGGTGAGAAGGTTGGGGATGTGAAGAGGTTGAAAACCCTGAATAGGAGATTTTTCTGATCTGTGGTGGCTCTGAGGCAGCCCCTGTGTCACAGCTGTCTTTTCTCTCTGTGTGCACACAGCTGGCCCACAGCCCCTGGGTGTTCCTCTGCTGTGGCTCTCCCCAGCACTTCCATGACGTTGCCCTTTCTGGGTTTTCTTGATTCGAGGGTAGCTTTTGCTTTTCTGGAGCTCATTGCCTTTTTAGCCCTGTTCCAGATCCCGTATTTACAGTCGCCCCAAATAAATTCTATTTTGCTGCTTTTCTTTCATTCCCTAAAAGCCATAACTTCCCTGTATTCTGTCAGCACACTCTGTCATCAGAAGTTGAACCAGTACAGGTAGGAAAAAGAAAAAAAAGCCCTTAACAATGCTTTTGATTAATGGTATTTTTTTTAAGCTTACCAATATAAGTATTTTTAAATGTTATGTTTTTCAAAGTCACATAATGATTGTTCTTGTTTCCTGTCACAGAATAGATTGTCATGGGATAGAAAGTGGTCCCTACCTTCTATTTTTCCAAATAAGTAAAACATTTTCTTGGTATTATAATATTAAATATTCATTTTCTTCAAAAGAAAAAAGGAACATTTTCTGTCTGCCAAAGTTTTATGTTAGTACTCAGATTGGGATAGAAAACAAAAGGGCTAGGTTTAATATTAGGGTGACTCAGGTAGTGTTCCTTTAGGTTTAAAGTGGTCTTTCCCACCTTTCTTAAGAAGGCACTGACTGTTTTGAACACAGAGACTTGATTGGTTGGGTTGTTTTGTGCTGAAGATCCTGAGAAGAAACAGTGTTGGAAAGGAATGCGAGTGGTGGCATGCACAGGAGCCCCACGCCAGGGCCCGTGCCCACAATCGCTGTTCAGTACATCATTTTCCTGAATGAGTTTTATTAATTTGTTCAGAGTTATATTGGCTTTTGTCCTTTAGCCAAATAAAGGCAAAGTGGTTTTACCTAATGTCCCATTTGCTGTTTTTGACCTGGCAGACATGTACGATATGTTTTATGAACTTGGGGCTTTTATGTGTACTCTCAGTTCCTTTGCTTTTGCATTCTAATTTGTCGCTTCAAAATCTCTCCATGACCATATTCTCAGGGGAGTCCTTTTGCAGCTTGGCACAGAAAACTCAGAAAACCATTGTCCCACAAAGTGAAGCTGGTCCAGATCCTAGGTCTGATGCCCTCAGTGCCCTAATGACACATCATCTGTAAGGAAACATCTTCCATCTGTTCTTTGAGACTTTGGGCTCAGACTATTTTACCTGGCTTGAGTTCTGCCCATTTTTATAGCAGACAAACTACCATATACTCTTCATTTACTTTGGGAAAGCCCAGTGTGAGCTTTCAATATACAACTTTAAGAGCTAATGGTGGCCCTCACAGAGGCAATGTGCCCAGTCAGAATTTCAGATTTCATCCTGTTTGTTTATTATAAAACCTAAAATACCTTACCCAGGCAAGGTCCAAAACAATTTCATCCTACTGCATGATTCACCTTCATCTTTATAGTCAAATGTAATCTGCCAGCTTATGCTGACAATGGACTCCATTTCTACTAGGTCAAGTTTGAGTGACAGTGAGGGAATCGTGTGCCCATCTAATGAGTGCAGTGTCTCTCATTCATTGTCCAAGCCATCCAGCTCAGGTTTTGAGGCTCAGATCCAGGTCTGGAGAAGGAAAAGGTTCATACCCAGCCTTGTCGTCTTTCTTTCGGTAGTACATTCGTGTCAGCACAGTTAGGAGAAAAGTCTCCAGTATGAGGAGGTGACAATTCATCACTGCAGCATGGGATGAAATGTAATGGAGGTTATGCTAAGTTAGAGAGTCCGTATCCCATTAGCAGCCCTGCCAGGGAGTAGAACAGCATTTTCTCTAATTTATCATCAAACCAAGACCTAGAGATGCTAAGTTGTCACAAGTAACATAGCAGGTTAATGGCAGAGCCAGAACAGAACTTGGCTCTCTATCTTCTGCAGTCTGAGGTTAGCATTAAACCCCCTTCCTTTTGTGCATTTATGAGTATGACCTTCTGCTTCCTAACCACACCTGTTCCTCTCCCAGTAGCTGAGGACTAGGCGCATGACTCCCTGGGTTGGCCATCAGGGCTGGCCTCAGGCTGTGGGATTGCAACTCTCCTCTGTGTGTTCAGAGAAGTCATAGTCTCCTTAAAACCTTTGCTGGGATTTCTGGGCGATCCCTTTCTGAATATCCTGAGCAGAAACCAGGTCGGCCCAACCTCTGTTCTTAGGGCCTCCCTTCCCTGGCCCTCTCGCACCCATCCTGGAATGGGACAGGAGCCCCTGTGTGCTCACCTTGAGACCTGACTTTAGAGGAAAAGGGAGGTGAACAAGCAATCTGCCCGCCATTGGCCAAGACTGAAAAGATGGATGGCTGTAGGGCAGTCAGGATGAGAAGCACCTGCAGAACAGAAAAGAGATGTGAGGGCAGGGGGCCCGATGTCTGTGGCACTGAGGCCAGGAGAGCCCCGGCTGTGCTCGTCCTTGCACCATGCGCTCAACTTACCTTTGATGTGTGCAGCTACAGAGGGTGGACTCACACACTAGACTAAAATTTTGTGGGGTTTTAATCTTTAAGAAAGTTATAATCTCATCCTCTGCCCAGTGTTTTCTGAGTTCTGACAAGGAAGTGATTGGGGATTCACATTTATTTCCCTTTCTCAGCCATGGCTACTCGTGAGTGCTTAATGGATGAGAAGGGTGGATGATTAAGAGTAATTCCATCTTGCTCAAGTACCTGGGATCCCTGCCTCTAGAATGATGGACAATTAACCATTAAGGTACCCTTTGAAAAATCTCTGCCAAGCCAGTGGCTGGGGGAAGGGGAATTAGTGTTCAGTGGGGACGGAGTTTCTGTGTGGAAGAGAAAAGGTTCTGGAGACGGACAGTGGTGATGGTTGTACAACAATGTGAATGCACCGAACTATACACTTAAAAATGGTTAAAATGGTAGAGTTTATGTATATTTTACATACAGTTTTAAGACAATCTCTGCCCAGAGGCCCCAGGAGCAGCATTCTTCTTGGTACTTGCCTGCCCTGGGTGTGCTTTCTGAGGCATCAGCCTCTTCAGGACAGACTGGGCTTGTCCAGGCTTCCCCACAGTAGCCATGGACAGGATCAGCAGTCACAGCTCTTTCCCTGTGGTCTGACCCTAAGTGCTTCTCGGGCCCAGGCCCTGTCTTCCCCTTCACTCCCTGACTCCATTTCAGCTCTTCTTCTCTCTTCCTGTTGTCCCTTCAATTCTACTTACCATGTGCCTAGATAGTCACATTTCAGAGGCATCTGCTTAGACCAAGTGAGAATTTATGTGAAATCCATCTAACTGTAAAGCAGTCATTATGCCTTGAGGGTAGGAGAAGGCCCCCGCAAGGAGACAGATAGAATGGAGAGTGAAGGAAAACAAGACTGGGCTAGAAGTCATTGCTTTTGGTGGAAAAGTTATCTCTGGGTTTAGAGAAAGGAACATGAAAAAGGAACAGATGTGCCTTTGAGAGAATTTGCAGAAGAGGTATGCAGATAAAGAGGCACTGTGATAAGGGATGAACAGTTAGATCTGGGTTTATATTCTAGCCCCCTAGGTTATGTGCCTTTGAGGAAGTCCTGTAACATCTCTGGCTCTGTTTCCTCATTTCTAAAATAGAAATAATAATGACTTCTGAGATAATTATGAAAATTAAATGTATGATAAGAGCCTAGCACACAGTGTAGGTAGTTCATGGTTACAGCTATGAGCATGCTTCTGCTTTGGTGGTGATGAATTATAAGGTTTAGGAAGTAATGGAAAGAAAAGCAAAGGTAGAAGAATTTAAGGTTTGGTAATACATGTGAGAGGGGTTGAATTGTGTCCCCTCCAAAAGATACATTGAAATCCTAACCACCAGTGCCTCAGAATGTGCCTCTGGGAAAGAGTGTCATGGTTTTGGTTAATTCGATGAGATTATCTAGGATGAGGTCACACTGGAGTAGGGTGGGTCCCTGTTCCAATGTGATGGGTGTCCTTAGAAGAAGAGGAAAAGAAACGCAAGGTACAGACATAAGATGAGAGAATGCCATGGGCAAGACAGGCAGAAATGGGGCTGCAGGCCAGGGCGTGCCAAGGGTTGCTGGCAAAGCATCAGACACTAGGAAGAGGCAAGGAAGAATTCTCCCCAAAGGATTTAGAGGGAGCATGGCTCGGCTGACACCCTGGTTTTGGACTTCCAGCCTCCAGAACTATGAGACAATAAATTTCTGTTGTTTTCATCCACCCAGTTTGTGGCATTTGGTGAGAGCAGCTCTAGGAACTATTAGAGCACAGAAAAGGAGAAACTGGGGAGGGGCAGAGTCATTTCTCAAAGCTTCCAAGGCTAAAGAAAATTCTCAGACCTGCTTTTAGCCTTTATTCTTACCTCCTGACCCAAATTATTTGTAGCTCTGTTATTAGTCATCTTTTCTCTCCCAGGGTATAGTTACCTGGAACAGAGCAAATTTGGCTCCTATGTTCTGTTCGCCCAGGTGCTGCTTGGCTTGACGGAAGACGATGGCCAGAGCCCAGAGGGCAAGCAGGGTGGACACCCCAAGGAGCGTGTTGATCCACAGAGCTGTGCTCTCCTCGGAGATCTGGGGCAGACCAGAAAGTAGGCAGTGAGGGAGGGAGCCCTATCCTCATTATTTCTCCTCTCCCACTGTGGGAAAGGTAGTAAAAAGCCCCAAAGCCATAGTCTGTGCTGGTCTCCCTTTCCCCACCAGAGTCTCCAAGCCGCTACTTTTCAGTAGCCCCCGGGCCCTGGGGCCCTGAACCGGGGGCCGTTGGCTCCAGGTATTTCTTCCAGAGCTCAGCAGTCCCAAGCGAGTCCTGGACTTTGCTGCCCCTTAGTCCTGGCTTACATCTGCCGGGTCATAGATGCCATCAGGGATGAGAAACAGGCCCGCCAGGCTCAGGGTTATCTTAAAGAAGGCAAACTGGAATGGGCCCAACATCAGCAGCTGAAGCTTCTTCCTGAGGGGAGAAAGGGGCAGGACTTGGGATATACAAACTACCCACCCCACAAACTCCCTCCAGCTCCCTCACGGGGCTCCTGGGCTGAGGCCTGGCTGCCCTGATACACACCAGCGTGGATGAACAGATGGGGACATAGGAAGAAGCCAGAGTGTTGAGAACATTGGGAGCCCCCCTTTTTGCCTTCCCCTCAGTCCCAGACCAGAATGCTACCTTTTGAGCAAGAACCATCAGCATGTTGACCCCAATCTCATTAACCAAAACGGGCAGAAGGGGCAAGTAAATAGCCCAAGGTCCAGTTTGCTCTGTGGAGCTGGAGTTCACAGGGGCTCACCTCCCTCTGCTCCTCTCACCCCGGGGGGTGCCCCATGTGGGTCCTGACTGGGGAACGCCACCCTTCACCACTGGCTTTGCTCCATAAAGCTGTCCCCCCAGTCCCCTCAGTGCTCCCCCTATTGCCCCCCCTCACCTGGAGAGCCTGAGTGGGGGGCAGCAGGGGCAGCAGCAGCAGCAGGGGCCTGTGCCCGTGGGCAGCGCTGCCCCCCCCAGCACCCTCAGCACGGCCTCCGGTCCCCCGAAGCCCTTCACCATGACCTGCATCAGCAGGCAGAAGCAGGCCGCGTAAAACCTGTGGGGCAGTGGAGGGGGGTGAGAGGCAGAAGGTGCAGGGCCCACCCCCGACAACCATCCACAGGTGTGACCCTGGGGGAGAGGGAGGGGGACAGGGTCCAGGGCCCTGGGAAGAGGGGACTTTCGAGCTGTGGGGACAAAATGGTGACTGAGGATGAACAGAACCAGAAGCTCAAAAGACCCAGGTTAGTTAGCACAGGTTGGAAAGGGCCAGATTCCTGATCATGTGGTTTGCAAGCTGGGGAGGGACAGGGGATAGAAGGAGACATGGACGCTGGAGTCCTGGGTGCATGGGGAACAGAAGGGGGCCCCAGGAGGATACCAGCTCTGGGGGCAGGGCAGGACGCTCACGAGGTTATGGCCATCTCCACCAGCAGGAGGGAACGCGGGATCCAGAGACCAAAGCAGCAGAACACGGACACTACCTGCTTGGAGAGGAGCAAGAAGCTGAAGGCAGGGAGGGAGGCTACTTGCCCTCTGGAAGCGAAACCCAAGCATTTGAGGTGCCATGACTTAAAAGTGGCCAGCTAGAAAAATGATTAACTAAAAAAACTTTTTAAAATTCATCTGTCAGTTCTTCTATATCTAGGATTAAAGACAGGGAGACCCCTTGAGTCCAGGGCTCTTTTGAAAACTGTCTCATCCTATGCCCTGTGGTAGGAGTGGGTAAGTTCATCCTTAGCGGTAAGTAGATCAAGATCCATCCCTTCCTTTTCAACACCCCATATTATTAAAGTATCTCTGATGACTTGAGATGGCCCAGGCAGATGTCGTCCCGCAGGAAAGAACCTCAGAGCTATCTTCTCCACTCCTGACAGACACACACAGCTCACCACAAGGAAACAAGTCCAATCGTACAGCCTGAGAGCAAGCCAAAGACCCATACAGCGACTGTGGGCATGAGTTTCAATGGCCTACAATGTAAGGGGAGAGCTGCATGACCTTTGGGTGGGGGGAAATTCTTGCCTCCTATGCCAAGGAGCTGCTGCCTGCCTGTACAGTGGGGGCTTGGCGGGGAGCTTGCTTTTAACAGCAAAACCATGCAGGGAGTAGGGAGTGGGGCTGCTGGAGGGCCGTGCAGTTTCTCCAGCTGTCTCTGTGGCTCACACACTCCATCCCACTGCCCGTTGGCCTCCCACACATGGAGTCCTCACTGTAAATGGAGGTCAGATTGCAAGCACACACCCTGAGGTGGTAGAGGCCGGCAACCCTTTGCTGACTTGTGTTGTTGCCCTTGAGGACTTCTCAGAAAGGCCGCTGCCTCCTCACCGTGGGTGCAGAGCTGCTCCAGAGCAGAGTCTTCCTCTTGATGGGGCAGCGGGTGTTCTTGTACAGGTAGACGGCATCCTCCAGGAAGATGGCGACTGAGCCCAGCGCGAGCAAACTCATGAGGACTGTGAGAGCGACTTCCGCAGGGCCCAGGGCTGGGGTGGGAAGAGAGGGCAGACTCCAGGGAGCTGAAGCCCAGGACTGAGGGGCAGACGTGAACGTCCTCGCTGAGATCTGAATGGTTTAATCATGTCTAGAATTATCTGGTCTAGGCTCCTAGCCATGCAGAAGAATGGCTTTTTCCTAGACCTAGAATATCTAACATGTGGCTAAGAAGTAGTCCTTCCTCTGCATGGATGGGTGCCTAGACCAGATAATTCTAGATATGGTAAGGCTTACCCAGAGCAGGGTATAGACAACGAACAAGTTTGTATCTAATGTAAATAATTAGCAAACATTCTGAATTAGGAGGTCAGCAGGGCCTGTCTACTTGTCTACCTCCAGTGCCTGATGTCCTGGTAGCAGACATGGGCCAATTAACATTATAATTGAAGCAGAATGTAGTTAAAGGTATATTTTAGAAGCTGTTTAAATTTGATTTCAAAAAGTATGTCATGAAACTGGGACATTAGAAAGGGATTTTAACAAAAAAGAAATGGATACAAACAGATTCCCTGGGCACTGGACCCATGTTGGCCTCACACTCAGTCTTACATTAAGTGTGGTCCAGTAGCTCTCCTTAGTGTTGACTGGAATCATTTGAGAAGTTGTTAAAAAGTAGCTGCTTCAGCATTTCTGGGCTGGGCCCAGTGATCTGCATTTTTTTTTTTTTTTAGATTATTGTTTTTTATTGAAGGGTAGTTGACACACAGTATTACATTAGTTTCAGGTGTACAACACAGTGATTGAACATTTATATACATGATAATTCTAGGTACCACCTATCACCATACCAAGTTGTTACAATATTTTGACTATATTCCTTATGCTATACATTACATCCCAGTTACTTATTTATTTTACAATTGGAAGTGTGTACTTTTTTTTTTTTTTTTTGTGAGGGCATCTCTCCTATTTACTGATCAAATGGTTGTTAACAACAATAAAATTCTGTATAGGGGAGTCAATGCTCAATGCACAATCATTAATCCACCCCAAGCCTAATTTTCGTTAGTCTCCAATCTTCTGAAGCATAACGAACAAGTTCTTACATGGAGAACAAATTCTTACATAGTGAATAAGTTACATGGTGAACAGTACAAGGGCAGTCTTCACAGAAACTTTCGGGTTACCACTTGGAAGAATTGTGATACATGGTAAATTCGATATGAGGCACGAATTCTATTTAGGGGTTGTAATTAGGAAGAAAGAAGAAAAGCTATGGAAGTAGCAGGCGGTGATCTGCATTTTTAACAAACTCCCCTAGTAAAAGTCAGAGATAACAAACACTTGGACAAACACCCGTCAAGTGACTCTGGCCTCACCACTGCTAACAGAAAAAAGTTGACGTAGTCACACTATGTGTTTCTGGACATGTGATTCATCAGTGCAACAATTAGTTTTAAACAAAAGGTTATGTGTCCTTAAGGACTAAGCCTGGACCCTCGTTTATCTAAGGCCTTCGCTGGTTGGCAGACTCTTTCCTTCCCACTTCCTGACGGCTAGAGGAAGAAGGGGGAGAGGAGCCTGTGGGGGCCGTGCATGGCCCTAGAACCCTGGTGGTCAGGTAGGAAGAGGGACCGGCTGGCCCGCCCTAGGCTTTGGTGACTAGCCCAGTCCCAGGGCTAGTACTGCAGAGCTAGAAACCAAACCACAGTAATGACTTGAGTTGCTGGCATCTGGATTGGTCATACCTGGTGGCATCACAAGAGCAGCCAGGACAAATGTAAATCAGTCAAAAACTGTCCCGTTGATCCTACTTCCTCTTATGTCATGGCACACGTTTATTTCTGTTTGCTTTCTCCAGTGGAAGACCCTCATCTCTGGCCTCAGTTAGGTCCACCTGCGGAAGGTGGCCCTTGGGTTCCGGCTCCCAGGCTGGACTTTAGAAGTCAGAGAGAAACCTTTTCTACCACAGGCCACAGAAGGCAGGACTTGCTATTTTTCTTCCCACCTACCCACCTCCACTTAGGATGCAGCCCTCGGCTGACAGGGCATTGCTGTTACTGTTTAGCTGACTGAGGCTAACAAACATTTGGACAAACACTGGTGAAGCAACTCTGGCCTCACCATTGCTAACAGGAAGAAGTTAACATAGTCACACTAAGTGTTTCTGAACATGTGATCCATCAGTGCAGCCATGACCCATTCATCAATTACCTCTCCAAGTATTGCTCTGGTAGGCCCGACAAGTTAGGAACATGAAAAAAACTGGTTGCAGTTCTTTCTTTAAAAGAGACTTTACTTTTCCTCCATGAAAATTTAAAAATATAACATCACAGAGAA